CCGCCCTAGCCGGCCCCACCTCGTATTTCTGCTGCTTCAGCTTCTCCATCAGGTCGAACTTCTCCGACTCCAGCTGGTGGATCCAGCCGGACAACTCCTGGGCCTTCTCCCTGGCAGGGCGGGGCGGAGGTCGTGAGGGTCGGAGCCCGGCCACCACTCCAGGTTAATTTTTTTGATTTCTTGTGGAGCTGAGGTCTCGCCCTCTCGCCTCCGCCTCCCAGAGTGCTGGGATGACAGGCGTGAGCCACCACGCCGCGTCTGGCTCATGTGAGGTAGAGCCCATCCCGAGCACTCACAGCAGTCATCGGGCTAACAGAACCTCCTCGATCCGGGGGCATCGTCTTATCTGGCGCCCCATGTCACCTAATAGTCTCTGCGGTGACATGGGTGGCGTGTTTCACAGAGAAGGCCACAGGGGCCCAGAGAGGGGCAGCCGCGTGCCCAAGACACACAGCGCCCGGGTTCACACCGGAGCGAATGGTGGGGCTCTGGTTCTCCCTGCCCCACACCGGGCCCCACAGCCGTGAGCCCCGGGGGACCCACCGGAGCTGCTCCTCCCCCATGTAGTCGATTTCCAGGGGCTTTTTACGCTCAGACAGGATCCGCAGCTTCATCTCCCGGCCAGTCTGCCGCTTCCCACGCTTCTGCTCGGCCTGAGGGGGGGGGGAGACCTGAGCCCAGAGCAGTCCACATGGGGACCAGGGTGACACACAGCCTCCGCCCTTGAGCCAGTAGGCCCCCAGCCCCGCCTCCCTTAGACCCAGGGGTCCAGGTCCCCAGCCCCTCGCCCTCAGATGGGGGACTCAAGGCCCCCAGCCCTCCTCCCTCAGTCCCAGGGGTCCAGGCCCAGCCCCTCCTCCCTCTGGCCCAGGAGTGCAAGGCCCAGCCCCTCCTCCCTCTGGCCCAGGGGTCCAGGTTCCCAGTCCCTCGCCCTCAGACCGGGGACTCAAGGCCCCCAGCCCTCCTCCTCCAGACCCAGGAGTCCAGGCCCCAGCCCCTCCCCCTCAGAATGCGGACCTCAGGCCCGTCGGGTCGAGCTCACCTTGACCAGGTAACCCCCGAAATGGGCCCCCATGTTGGACAGAACCTTCTTCTTCTTGGCATCGTCCTCCGCCCGCTTCTTGGCCTCTTCCTCCTC